GTTGCAAGTTCGAGGCCAGCCTCAGCAACTTGGCAAGGCCCTTAGCAATTTAGTGAAACCCTGTCTCAAAAATAAAAAATAAAAAGGACTGGGGATGTTCTCAGTAATGAAGCACCCCTAGGTTCAATCCCCAGTTCAAAACAATTTTTTTTATAACAGTTGCCTGTTAGTATTTTGTAGAAGTAAAACTTCTAATAGAATAACCTGAGTCAATTTGGAGTACTAAGACATCACCTATAGGAGAGATAGGATATAACTGGCTCTCTGTATTGATACTGACCCCAATTAAATAGAAGGGGAATAACTTTAAAATTGCAAAAGTTAAAATGAAGACCCACTATTCCCCTTTTCAGGCTGGTGGAACTCTTCTGGGTGTTCAACAACAGACACAATGACCCAAATCCGAAAATAAAATGGCTAAGAAAAATATAATTAATATTTCGGTCCTTGTCCTTCAAGGTCAGCCAGGTCCTAAGGAACAATAGGAGCCCTCTAAGGGTCCTGCAACTCTGGTGAACCACCCAACCTTCTGATCCCGGGATTGTGAGGACCCTAGAAAACAGGAAGCTAACCTGTACATGGTGCAAAGAAGAGGGTCATTGGAGAAGGGAATGTCTGCAGCGTTTACAAAGAAATCCACGTGTGGTCTGCAAGCCCCTGACCYATCCTGGCAGGTGGCATAACTAGAAGAGGAAGAAAGTGAAGGAGCCCAGAGGCTCCTCACAAGTTCCTAAAAATAACCCCTGAGGAGTCTCAGCTGACCTTAACAGTAGAAAAGAAAGAGGTTAGGTTTTGGCCAAAATATAGGTCATCTGCTTGGTCTCGAATACCCAACAGGGAAGTATGACCAAAGAGAAACGTACAACTATGAGGGTAGAGAAAAAGCAGAAGGGAAGCCATGCAGGACCATTGAAAGAGAAAGGCAGTGGTCCTTTTAAATGTAACTTGAGATGTGCACTTGTGTCAGCCTTACCAGAAGTAAGTAAAGCTGAAAGTTATTTTTTTTTAATTAATTAATTGATCAACTTGTTTTTGAAGTACTGAGGATTTAACCCAGGGGTGCTGTACCACTGAGCTGAGTCCCCAGCCCTTTCTAAATTATTTTGAGAAAAATTTTGCTAAATTTCTCAGGGTGACCTCCAACTTGGGATCCTCCTRCCTCAGCCTCCCTAGTTGCTGAGATTTCAGGTGTGGGCCACTGTGTCCTGCAAAGCTGACACATTATGAAGATGGGGTTCTTAGACATGACGGCCTGCCTCTGTAGCCCTTCCACCAAGCACCTCCACACAGAGGGCAGAACTCAATGGGGCTAAGGACTAATTCGTGCTTTTCACCATTACCTTTTCTGTTTGGTTTTTGGGGCCAGTGGCTTTGAACCTGATTTGTTGAATTTCCGGACTCAGTCTCAGCGACTCACACCTCTGAGATTTTTTTCCAGAATGAAGCTTATAAAACTTCAGAGTCTGTGAAGCCTTAGTGCTCCACGGATCCATTTAGCAATTATTGTTTTTTTTTTTTTTTTTTTTTTGATGAGTCTTCTAGATTCCTGCTGCAAATAAGAAGGGGGAGGGTCCCGGCACACACGACTGTTTCAGAGCACAGGCAAGATGCAGAAGTAGGCAGACCCTGAACCATTTCCAAGCCCACGCAGAACTGAACCTCAGACGTGAATCACGGTTCTGTGCCCCATGAGATGGTTTCAGAAGTTTGCACGTGTTCAAACTGAGTAAGAAGGCAGACTTGGGACTTCCCTCTTGCTTCTTGTTGGAGGAAGTGAAATTGCTTTTCAGCACTGCAGATATATACCTTTTGTGGAAGAGGTGCCTCTCTCTGTTAGAGGCCAAAGTTCAGCCTTTAGCCGCAGCCCCCTACTCCTCCCGGGTGGCCATCTGGTGAGCATATGTGACTGCATATGCGTTTTGGTAATAATAAGAAAAAAATAGAAAATAAAAAAGATGATTTATTTGTGGAAGGACTAAGACAGGAAAGGTGCAGGTGAAACACTGGGTCCAGCTCTCCCTGGCCCACTTCCTCACACTCTGCGGGTACAGGAAACTCTTCCTGCCCCTGGCGGGCCCAATGCGGTGGAGCCCAAATTTCCCATCCTTAGACTTCTCCTTTCCTTGTTGGCCYTGAGTCGAAGAGAACTTCTTTGAGCACAGGAATTGCAGAGTCCATCCGTTTGGACCATTTTAGGCTTATGAAAATTCCWGAAATGATTTTTCTTTTTAARAAATATAGGTATTTKGGGGGAAGGGGTTACTTTTTTCCTGAATACAAAAATGATTTTTTTTTTGTACTATTGCTACTTGGTAGTAGGTAGATTCTCAGCAAGAAAWTCTTAAATAAGTAAGACATGCTCATTGTTGAAAACTTAGTAAAACAGAGAAAAAAGGGAGGGGAAATCAAATTATTCATAAACCTAACCATGTGATATAATCACTGTCAATTGGTTGGYATACAGGTTCCTCTAGTTACAGTTATAACTATCATATCACACATATGYTATAACACATATAGTACATAGTTGGGGTCAAGTTGGATGTATATCATCCTTTTATCACAACATCGTGACATAAGACTCTCTCACTTATTAAAATAATTMTGATATTTTGGTATATAATTTCATTCTTGTTGGCTTTTTTCTCTATCTTCAATTTTTTTTTAATTGAAGAGGAAGGCTACAGCAAAAAACAAAAGAAAAACTTTTTAAAGCCAGGCATGGTGGTACCCGCCTATAATCCCAGCAACTCCGGAGGCTGAGGCAGGAGGATTGCAAGTTCGAGATCAGCCTCAACAACTTGGCAAGACCCTAAGCAACTTAATGAGACCCTGTCTCAAGATAAAAAATAAAAAGGGCTKGGGATGTGGCTCAGTGGCTGAGTGCCCTTGGGCTCAATTGCCAGTATCACAAAACAAAAATAATAATTTWWWWAAAAAAGACGAYGACTAGCTGTTTAAATATTTAGGAACACCTGAATATAGAATTGTCTATATTCACCTTGCCTGGGTTCTCATTGCAGAAGAGTGAGGTCTCAACAGGATCTAGCAAAGAGAAAACAGTAAGAATCGTGAGCAAACCTCCAACCAAGTGTAAGAAGGAGAGTATTCCCATCCTCAGGAACCATCCCTAAAACATTTGAAAAGAAGCATGCAGATATTGAGTTATTGAAAGTACTCAAGGGAACTGAACTGTCATTTCTCTAATTCTGGGGTCTTTGCTGAGGTATGAACTTATAACTCACTGATTACAACTTAGCCAGAATATCCTGTGCAGATGTTTGGCACTCTAGCCAAGCCTGGACTAGACATTGGTTCATAAGTCAAGCCTTCCTGAGTGACTAGTGTAAGTCAATTCCCCAAAGCATGATAACTGTGGCCTGAATAGCCCCAGAATGTGGCATTTCTGTATTTACAGATCGCCATCAGGGGTTTAAAACTATCACTAGTGAAATTCAGCCTGTGAAGCTAGGCAGCTTGCCTCATGTTTTTCTAAAACACTTCTCGGCTGCATCAGCGACAGCCCTAGTTAACTTAATTCCTTGGAACCTGCTTCTTAGGTGACAGCACAGTGATACTCGTGGGTTGAGACATGACTCCTTGAAGCCTCAGCACCTGGTTTATGGTCTGATTTTGAAAACAGGAGGGTACAATGGGGAGCTTGCTTCATTAACTGCTCTGGATTCCCTGGCTACCATGGTACTGAGACCCATTCTAATTATCCCAAAGAATTAATTGAGCTGGGCTTCAATTAATCCTGGAACTAGAGCAATGGGTCAAGAGACATTTTTCTAAATTATGGGGTCTAACTGACCTGGCATCAACACACAAAAGAAAATTCATGACATATGTTTTCCTAATGATAGATATATATATATATATATATATATATATATATANAAATTCATGACATATGTTTTCCTAATGATATATATATATATATATATATATATATATATATATATAAAGAATTGTTGCTTTAAAACAAATAAAGAGGCACATCCTTTATTATGCACCTGTGCAAATGATATGCACTTAGAAATAGGATAAAAAGGCATAAGAGATACCAGAGGTACAACTTATTGCAAACTGCATGCACATGGAAGATTATGTAAGTGCATGTACACACATACATATAATCCTTGTCCACTGTGTGTTTTATAAATCAGAATCTTTGGGTAAATCRGTCAAGCAAAATTTTAAAACATCAAAAATCTAGATTATAGCATGTATTTGTCTTTGCTTGAGCATTTCTAACTGAAAGGAAACAACAACACAGTGTGGGGGTTCCCTACCCTCACTCTGAATGCTTAGAACAAYGCAGACTGAGGTTTTCCCAGCAGACAGCAAACAGAATCCTGGTGGGCACATGAAGCTCTGGTTCAGATAACTCCATCTCCAAAGCCAGGACTATCAGCACTTACAACGATAAATGTGTTTATCTGTGGACTTCCACCATCAGGTGAATGGTGGAATTAATTTCCCCGATGAAATTTTCACCATTCCTCAGTTGCTTTCCCTATAGTCYGAGTGGGTAGGGTGGAGGCGGGGTATCTCAGTAAGGGTGATGTGTCCMGTACCCTCTGCATTTCCAGTAAAAGGAAACTGTCCCTGGAGTCCCAGGAGAGAGAAGTCAAGCAAAATTTAAAACATCAAGTCCAAGAAAGTGAACAAACAACCCAATCCAGAGCCTTTGGGTGGGGAAGTGGTAAGCCACGGAGTCAGGATTTTTGGGTGCCCACTMCTGCTGCAGAGTAACCAGCTGCAGAGAGGGAACACAGGGCAGTGAACTYTGAAGCACAGGACTCTGTTTGCATACTAGAAGCACGTAAGTTTTGCGAAGTTTTAATAGACTTCGATATTCCAACCAACTTTCATTTCCCCGTTTTGCAGTGGCGTTAAACTAAAGAGGAACCGTTGACTWGAGGAGAAGAGTTGAAATTTCTGTTTCAGCCACTGCTTTCTTTTCCATCTTTCAGTGTGCTYGCTGGCTGCTGCTTCAAGCTGGTGTGGGGCCGGGGCTGTCAGCACCATGAGCAGCTTCAGGGTTGCCTTCGTCCTCTGGGCTGTGGTGGCCTGCGCTAGAACAGACCCGCCTCTAGAAGAGAAAGAGGAGACTGGAGTTCAAAGATGCAAGAATGCCTTGAAAATCCCTGTGCTGGAGGTCCTCCCCGGAGGGGGCTGGGATAATCTGCGCAACGTGGACATGGGACGGGTGATAGAGTTGAACTACACCACCTGCAGAACCACAGAGGATGGACAGTACATCATCCCCGATGAAGTCTTCACCATTCCYCAGAAACAGAGCAACCTGGACTTGAACTCGGAAATCCTGGAATCCTGGATGAATTACAAGAGCAGCATCTCTTCTTCCATCAACATGGAGATCTCTGTTTTTTCCAAGGTCAACGGCAAGTTCTCCACTGAATTCCAGAGGCTGAAGACCCTTCAAGTGAGGGACAAAGCTGCGACGACTCGTGTTCAGGTAAGAAACCTGATCTACACAGTCAAAATCGACCCAGCCTCCAGACTCAGCTCAGGGTTTCTGAAGGACCTCATGGACATCTCTGACTTTCTAGCGAACAATCAGACAAGAATGGCCACCTACCTGGCAGAGCTCCTGGTCCTCAACTATGGCACCCATGTCATCACTAGTCTGGAAGCTGGAGCTATTCTCATGCAGGAGGACCATATCAAGTCCTCCTTCCTCCAGGACAGCCAGAGCAACCATGTAGGTGTCACCGCGTCTGCCGGAGTTTCCTTCTTAAACACCGTGAATTTTGAAGCATCAGTGAACGTCACCTACCAGGATGACTTGACCAAGAGCTAYCTCGCAAACCGAACCAACTCCAGGGTTCAGAGCATTGGAGGGGTTCCCTTTTACCCAGGCATCACCCTCCAAACCTGGCAGCAGAGTACCACCAACCACCTGGTGGCAATCGATCGTGCTGGCCTGCCCCTGCATTTCTTCATCAAGCCGAACACGCTGCCTCAATTGCCGGGTCCCTTGGTGAATAAGCTGTCACAAACGGTGGAAACTGCTGTGAGACAGTATTACAACTTCAACACCTACCCCGGGTGTACTGATATCAACTCACCCAACTTCAATTTTCATGCCAATACAGACGATGGCTCCTGTGAGGGGAAAATGACCAACTTCTCCTTTGGTGGGATTTATCAAGAATGCACTCCACTCACAGGGAGCAGGAGTGCTTTCCTTTGCCAAAAGTTGCAGCAGAAGAATCCACTCACTGGCAATTTCTCCTGCCCTGCTGGCTACTCTCCAGTCCATCTGCTGAGTCAGGTCTATGAGGAGGGCTATAGTCAGTTGGAGTGTAAGGAGAATTGCTACTTGGTCATTTTCTGCAGTACGGTGTGTGAAGATGTATTCCAGCAGTCAAAGGTTCAATTTAGGGTTTTTTGGTGCATGGTCAAGGACCAAGTACCTGCAAACTCAGGACTTCTTTTTGGGGGCCTCTTCAGCAGTAAGAGCGTGAACCCGATGACAAATGCACAGTCCTGCCCAGTTGGCTACATCCCAGTGACCCTCTTTACAAGYCTCAGCGTATGTGTTTCTCTGGACTATGAGATGGGACACAAGTTTTCTGTCCCCTTTGGTGGGTTCTTCAGTTGTGCAGTTGGGAACCCCTTGTTAAAGTCTTCTATATCCACAGATGGGGTACCCTCTCTGAAAAAGTGTCCCGAGGGCTTTAGCCAACACCTAGCTATCATCAGCGATGGATGCCAAGTGTCCTACTGCATCAAGGCTGGGGTCTTCACAGGTGGGTCCCTGCCCCCCGCCAGGCTCCCACCGTTYACCAGGCCACCCCTCCTAAGTCAGAGCACCAACACTGTCTTAGTGACAAACAGAGAGATTTCCAGATCCTGGATTAAAGACTCCAAGACCCACCGATGGAGGCTGGGGGAACCTCTGGAGCTGCGCAGAGTCATAAAAGTCATCCATGGGAACAGCGAAGGCCTGTCGGGAGGGGCAACAGCTGGGATCACAGTGGGAGTCACCACCGTCCTGGCAGCTGTCATTGCCTTGGCTATCTATGGCACCCGGAAATACAAGAGAAGGGAATACCAGTTATTCGAGGAGGAGAGGAGGAATTTGACTTCRGAGATTCTACCCCCCGAAGACTTCCCCGCCTCAGAGCTGCAGCAAAGCCCAGCTTAAATCTTCCTGGGGAAACAGTGCTGTCACCTCTGACCACAGCTTCAGGCACGTCTGTCATGTCTTCCCTCTCCACTTTTGCCTTCCTAAGTATTGAGGTGTCAATGGAACAAAAAGCAGGTATAACTTTGTGACTTCTTAATTAGGTCTCTGAGCCAGGAAATGCAATGAGCTACACGAACGGGATTGGAGGTGGGGAGAGGGAGCAATCTTGACTCTCACTAAGCCAAAGCTACCCTGGGGGATTAAAATGGAGAGGAAGTGTCTTTTCCCATATTTGTGCATGTGTCACAAGACAGGAGGGAGAAAATAGATGTCTGAATTTGGAATCTATGCATTTCGTCTGAAGTCTGCAGTGGTTTCCAATCTGGGAGCTGTCAGAGCTCCTGTAAAGCACCATCTCTATTTTGTGTTTTAAAAAGCTGTCTTGATTTTTTTATGATCCTAGAGACAGAGCCCTAGAGACACAGGAAACCCCGCTTGGSCCCTGATTTCAGCTTTGAGGGCTCTGGGTCAATGGGCTACTATCTCCCCTCAGCTCATCTGAAAGGAAAGATGTTACCTAAACGAATTCCCCTTCTTCCAGCTGCCTTAGGATTAGGACTTCCTGAGACCAGGCCACTTTTGGACTTCTGACTAGTGTCCACAAGTCCTATGAATATATTTCAACTTATAGACTTCTACTAGGAGGCCATGGGTGAAGAGATTACAGGGACACATGTAGTAAAAAAAAAAAAAAAACTGCAAAAGACTCTGGTGCTCAGGGAAAATTGGGATTCTTATTCCCAACCAGCTAACTGCTGTCCTCCTCGAGATCGTCCTAGATGACGCACTGAGGGGAGATGTCGATTTCATAGATCAAACATTATGACTTTGTGTTCTGTGCTACCCAAATATACCCCCTTCCTCTTCTGTGGATGGCCTGCACCCTTCCTGTCTTTCCATCAGAAGCCTGGGTGCAGGGGCTCATGTGCACAGACACACCCCATTCCAACAGTGAGTGAGAATCCACTCCAAGTATCATTTCCTCCCTAACCAAAACACCGTAGAAAGCACCAACTGCTTGACCTGGTAGAAAAGGGACAGAGGTGATCCAATCTTTGTCTTTACATGAGCTGAAAAAGGCATCCAGAGCCACTTGTGACATTTAGAGCAGCTTCAGACTGAGTTTCCTGGGGCATCTAGCAGGACGCATGACTGCCCCCTGGAAGTGTGTGGGGCTTTGCTCAACTTGAACGCCAGTATTGTCTAACTGCAGTCACCTCCACAACATCAATGCTCCTCCACATTAAAAAAAAAAAAAATTACACATACATTTGCCATATCAAATGTTGCCAGTGAGTTATCTTCTATGAAGGATACTTTGTTCTCTCCTTGTTGATGTTCACAATCAAGGGTTTGAGCTGACAGCAGGCTTTTTTTTCTGAAGAGCATATTGTCTCAGACTGTGGGAAGATGGGAGTAAGAAAACTCATTYGTTTCCAACTGAGATAGAGAACAGATTTTGAGCCCCTCTTACCTGACTGTTCATTCAAGGACACCAATCTCTATRACCTCTTCCCTTTACCCTGCCCCTTAAGCATTAAAATGTTTCTAAATACCTGGGTGTTTGTATGTTTCAGCTAACCTAACTTCTTTTCTGAAAATATTGACTTTATGAAATCTTTAACAATTAACCATCAGAATGGCAAAGTACAGCCAAAGGTTGCCAGACTTTAAATGCATTAACTGCCCATTGAAATCAAAGTTCTTTACAAACTTCTATTTCTATGAACAAAACTACACAGAGATGTRCATTTAAATAGGTACTAAGGAACACTGTCCAACACTGTTCATCCATATGAAATCAGAACGTGGGATTGTGCTGTTCACATCCATCAAATTGCTTTACAAAGTCAGATTCTGGGTGCAGGGCTCACACCCACAGGCTCCTGCTGTGTTTTAGCTTCCTAACAGATGATCTTAGTCTGAAGTCTGGAGAAAGATTAGTCCTGACTTCCAAGAACACCACACCCCATGGACTATCAGAGATGGAGACAGATTTTGGTGACATTGGTGGTTCTGCATTTGCATTTTATTTTTGTGTTCTTATCAATAGTGGAATGATTAATAGTACACATTTATTTGAAAAACGGCAGTCTAGAAATGATTAAAACACACACTGTATTGTAGTCAGGTGGAGGGACATTGAAGAAGTCAACATTCATGATTTCAAAGATGACCTTTCTCCCACAAGTTCACCTTCCCATTTCCCTTGCCATGTGGTCTGTTTCTCTGGGGGAGCAAGGAGTCAAGTCAGGTCAAATGTGTGGGTAGAAAAGAAGTGGACAGAGAAAATTAGAGAAAAGAGACTTTCCCCTTATCTTGTGGAAGGGTTTGTGGTTGGTTACAGACTGAGGAAGTAACCCAGATGCCTCCCAGGTGCACTAGTCTGGCAAAAAGCAGAAGGTTCCCAGTTAACAACTGTTTGTGGTTGTTCATTTGCCATTTATTCTTCTGCACATACACCTCATGAGCACCAGGTGGCGATGTCCTCTCAGAGTAATACCAAAGAACTTCAAAACACAGCAGTGTACACACACAACAATCACATTTGGACATTCACCTGTCTCTTCCAGAACCCCCCACTCAAATGCCAGGGATCACAGACAAGGAAAGGGGGCCGGGGGCCTTTCTTGCACCGCAGAGGCCTTCCCCCAGTCCTCTCATGCACACAATAGTGCYATACCAGGACGAGCACTTTTGACCAAGTATAAAACCACAGAGATGTTCAGTTTTTACAAAAAGGGGAAGGGAATGAAAACACAAAGGCACACGCCACCACGTACACACCACATAACCTTTTAAAGGATGAGCATCTGAGAAGGTTTGTCTCTGATCCCGTGGGTCATCCCTGGAGACTCTGGGGCTGGTGCTAAGCCCATGAAAAGAAGAGCGCGAGAGCTCCTGCTTGGGCCCAGGGCGCACAGTMGGGATTCTAGCGGGAAACACCCTGCTTCACAGTAGTGGGCACACAGGACTCTGCTGGCAGGCTTCTCACTGAAACCAAGACTCTGCCTTTCCACGTTGGCACAAGATAAGGAGCAAGGGAATGCCCACCCCCCACTGCCTTGCGTAGCACAGTGTTAGAAAGGAAATCCAAGATCCTTTCTGCCCAGAAAGCTCCACAAGAAGAGCAGCTTGAGGGTGAGGTAGCCCCTACCGAGCGTCCTCAGAGAGGACGAGAAATGGGGCACAAACACATCCAAGACCTGGGGTGGGGTGGGGGTGGGGGGCTTGGAGGCACGAAGACCCCCTCTCCAAGCGGTATTGCCACTGCCTCCTGACTCCCTTATATATGATCTCCAGTCCTTGTCCTTCTGCCTGATGAAGGGTCGCCCCACTGCCCATTTCCAGTTGTCCGAGCAGGTCTTCGTTTCTTCTCCACTCGAGCTTCCTGAATTTTCCTACTCACAGGCCCTGGGTCTTGTTCCTCATCCCTGTGGCCTAGAAGCCCAGAAGACACTGGACAAGGGCAATGGTAGGACGCTTACRGGGGCTGGAAACAGCATCACAGGACGCTACCCCAGAGAAGAATCCCAGAGTTCCATCCATCCATGCAAAAGAACCGGATGCCTCTTTGAACAGGTCACAGGTGTGAGGGGGAAGAGAGGGCCCAGAGAAGCCCAGAGGATGATCTCTGGCATGTGATAACTTGGCAGTGTGACATTACACTCTGCAGGGACATCTCTGTCATTTAGTTCTAATGTTTCCTTCCTGACTGGGGCAGTGAACTCAGGACCAGTCTTTTCATCTGCAAAATCGCTTCCCACTGCTGGGAGAGACTGGATTAAAGGTGGCAGGAATAATTCCTCCTCTCAGAGCTCCCTCTGACGTGGCCAATTATGGTCCCTGTAGCCAAATGGGAGTAAAGAAAGACTCAGCACCAGTAAGTCCCAAGGAACTGGTGACAGGTGAATCCACTCGTCACACTTATGTCAAAGTGGCTGCAGGGCTAACAGCAAGCAGCTGTGGAGCTGCTGTTATGAAACCTTGGCCTCCAGTTCTAACTTAAGTACCACTGTGGAAGGTTCTTTAGTTTCATTTTTTTTTCCAGCATCAAAAACCTTCCAAATTTTATGAAATATATATATGCATATATATGTATACATCAAACCCCCAAAACATGAGGTATATAAATTCAAATTAGTATCCAGAGGAACTTCCCCCAAACACATAGTTCAAAGAACCCACTTTCAAAAAGGAGAATTGGGTTTCCCTTCTTGAGAAGCCCTGTTCTCCCTGATCCTCAATCCATTATTGGAGCCAAAGGCAAGAGGATGTTGAGGGGAGAGAGACAGGGTCTTGGGATACAACCCAGATGCACTTCGGACCAGAACATAATGTGGTCCCAACCCTGTTAGGAATGAACTAGAGGCTTTCACCATGTTGGAGGTCCACCTGTGGGACAGATGAGGGGCCCCACAACATCTCTGGGCTTACCTAGCAAATTTGCACGGGTACAGATTGAAACCCTCATAAAAACAAGATTGGACGGAGGTTGGCTCTGATTCCGTCTTGAACAGAAATAGAAAAAGGTGTGGGTCCAGGTCTCACCTCCACACATCCCCCTAAGCACAACTCTACCTCCAGCAGGTTCCACGTTTATCATGAGATGGGTTGGCAAGAAGAGGAAAGTCCAGGGACCACACCCTGGCAGTTTCATCCCTCAGAACTGGGGTTTGGCGTCTTGCAAAACAGATTTCAGGGTCGTGATGGGATGGACTGTCCACCAACGTGGCCCACGACACGCACACACCCACACACACATAGGCTCATACACAGACGGCACAGGGCCCACCATGGGCCCCACTCACAGTGAATCCATGAAACTCGTGGAATCTTTGAGCTGGTCTGGGATGAGTTGGGCAGAAGGCTGTGGGCTCCTCTCCCTGAGGACAGTGCAGATGCCCAGTGGGACGCAGGCTCTGGTTTGATCAGAGAGGGGCTGGAAACGGCATCACAGGATGCCAGCCCAGAGAAGAATCCCAGAGTCCATCCATCCATGCAAAAGAACCCGAAGCCTCTTTGGACAGGTCACAGGTGTGAGGGGGAAGAGAGGGCCCAGAGAAGCCCAGAGGACGATGGAGAGAGCTGAACTCGCTCCCAGGGGCGTCTACCTCCCTGACCCTGTCAGCAAGAAACACTTGCTGGCCCCACACCAAGGCATCCAGGATCTGATGTCACAGCAGTTTCGCGGTCCACCCCTTGGTGCCCCCCACCCACCTTGCACAGTGAGAGCTCTCTGCCTCAGTGGAGGAGAGAAAAGTGGAAACTCCGCTCTCAAAGCAGAGTGGAAGCAGCTAGAAGCCAGCGGAGGCCAGAGACCTCAGCTTCACAAGGCAGGGTGTGCAGTGCCACGCACTGTCCACACCCGAGTGTGCTGACCGTGCCCCCCACTTGAGGGATGGAGGGGGTGGGGGTTCTTGCCTACCCAGCACCGAAAACTCCACAGGAACAGACCCAGGATGGCCATCACCCCATGTCCCCTTTTGTCGGATGAGGTTTATGAATTATGTCACCTTATGCAATCTGCCTCCCCTCCCAGTCGGGGTGGGATGGTGGATAGAGACAGGGTGAGGGAGGATGAGGGAGTAGGGAGGGCCTGGCACCAACTTCCACCTGGATTCTCCCTGTTCCTGCCCTGTGCCCCACAGCCCCTCCCACCCCACGCCTCTCCAGCCTCAGTCTTTCTCCTGGGCAGTGCTGTCCTCAGAGATGCCCTGGGCAGCCAGTTCGGCCAGCACGTTATCCAGGTAATTGGCATCCGGGTAGCCATGGCCGGTGAGATTAGAGCCAAACTCTGTCTTGTGGTGCACCTCATTCCAGATGACCGTGTCAGACTCGCCCGTGGTGCTGGAGGTACCGATGGCAAAGATGAGACGGCGATCCCAGGCCACGAGGAGCAACTTGAGAACCTGGGGAGCAAAGGAAAGAGACAGAGGGCGGACTTCAGTGTCGGTCAGACCCTGTCCCCTGGGTGGTAGGATCCTCTTGAGGGTCCCAATCTCCCTGGGTCAGGAAGTCCCAAGCAATTCAATGAAAGAGAAGGAGACTTGGACTTGGAGTCAGGGAACTATCGGTTGAGTCTTGGCTCTGTCAATGAATCACTGTGACCACGGACAAATTAGAGCACCTCTCTGATGCTTAAAATCCTTATTTATAAAGTGGCAATGGTATAACCCGTCTCAAAGGTTGTGGACATCTTATGGAACACTACGAGGAAAGCGTTTTCATACTAGTGCCCCGAGTACAATACTTTAAAAAAAAAAAAAAAAGGTCAGCTATCAGCATAATAGTTGCATTTTAAAACTCTGGGTCTAGGAGTCGCAGTGCTTATGATCCGAGGACTTCTGAACGTCTGCCCTCCACCAGCACCACCCCGAGGTGGAATTAATTTGCCAACAACTAAGACTGTGACATATTTGTCCAGTGACATCTTAAAAAGCCCTCTGACTTCTTCCAGGCTCTCTCATACTTATCTCCCATCTGGTCCTCACACCACACTTGGAGCCAGGTCCACGGCAAGTGCTATCATCATCCCCATTTTATAGATGAGGAAGCTGTGGCCTACGTTGGGGTTTGCAGAATGTTCTGATTCCTCCAAATTCAACAAAATCTTGGTTGAGCGAGACTAACATCCCATTCCCAGTCTTGGTCGGAGCCCTGTCCATATGAAGAAGACACCCGGAAAGATGAACTCTCCCAAACGTGGTACAGGCTGACGGCTGGGGAATCGTAACAGTAATGACAGTTGTTGCTGCAGTTGGAATCTTAAATGTCCCCTAAAGGCTGTGTGCCAAAAGCTTGGTCCCCCACTGATGGTGCTGTTGGGAGATGGGAGAAACCTTAGTCCCTGGGGTCCGGTGGGAGGGAGTAGGTCCCTGGAGGTGTGCGCCCTGGGAAGGTTTATTTTGTCCCCAGTCCCTCCCCTCCCCACTCTCTCTTTCTCTCTGTGCCTCCTGGTCACCAGGAGGTCAGCAGTTAAAACCTTCCACCACCTGCTCCCAGCCATGAGGTTCTGCCTCACCCAAGGCCCAAAGTGACAGGAGCAAGTGACAAGGGACTGAAACCATGACTCAAAACAAATCTTTCCCCCTTTCAGCTGATTGCTCTGAGGTATTCTGTCACAGTGAAGCGAAGCCAAGGAACACCATAGTAAACTCGAAAACAGGAGCTACCCTTTCCTGAGAGGTTACTTACTCGGCTCCAGGCGTTGAGTTATACAGTGATCACAATAACTGGGATTCAGATACTCTCATCATCACACCCCCCACCCCCGCCACCTTTTTTTTTAAAAAAATTAGAAAAACAGGCTCAGAAGATTAAAAAAAAAAATCAAAACTTGCCTTGGTCTTATAGCTAGTGGCAGGCAGCAGGGTGGGTATTGGAGGTGGACCTCAGGGCTGCCTGACTCCATGGCCCAGGGTCCAAAGTCTACTTTAGATAGGGAYCAGCATATATTTCAAGGAGGAGGCTGCTTCTGAGCAGAGTCTCAGCGGAAGGGAGGATGGGAGGTATGTTAACAGGAGGATGTGCAGATGCAGTAAGTAAATAGGAGCCCCAGGCATGGATGATTACAACAACAGCTGCCATCGCATTTTACTATTGCTACTTTCACTGAATTCCTACAACATCCTGTCCCCACAGAGATTATTACCACTGCTGGGCAGATGAGGAAACAAGTCATTCAGATGTGAAGCCTTTAATACCAGTTTCTGCAGCTATGAGAGTGAGAACTAGGACTGGAACCCAGGCCAGTCTAGTTCCAAAGCCTGAGCTCTCACTGTGCCTCAGTCTCCAATGAGACCTACCTGAAGGACAAGGGTGGGCAACTGGAGAGATAGGAAGGTGTAAAACCACACTACAGCAGGCTTTTTATGTCAAGTGGAGAGGAGTATTCTTTGTGAAGAAGAAACAACTGTTTGAATTTTATTTCTTTTTTCTTTTCTTGGAGGGGGGAGGGTACTGGGGATTGAACCCAGTGGTGTTTTACCACGAAGTTACATCCCTGGCCCCTTTTAAAAATTTCTATTTTGAGACAAGGTTTCTACGAGTTGCCCAGGCTGGCCTTGAACCTGCAATCCTTCATCTTCTATTTTTTTTTTTTCCTGGTGTTTCCTGGTATTGGGGATTAAAGCCAGGAGCATTTAACCACTGAGCCACATCCCCAGCTCTTTTAAAATATTTTACTTAGAGACAGGGGCTTGCTGAGTTACTTAGGGCCTCACTAAGCTGAGGCTAGCTTTGAACTCGAGATCCTCCTGCCTCAGCCTCTAGAGCTGCTGGGATTACAGGCATGTGCCCCTGCACCCCACTTCTGCCTCAGCTTCTGGAACACTGGGATTACAGGTAGGTGCCACTGTACCCAGTTTGAATCTTATTTCTTTTAAACAAAGGCGTTTGGTGCTGGGAATTATGTTTTGGGATGACTAAACTGGTGGCGTTGCAAGATGAAGAAGCATTAACTAGGTTGGTGGTAGCAGGTTTATAAAAGGAATCGAGTGGTTTAGAAGGCAGTTCAGGGAGCTAAGTGGATGCGGTGGATAAGAGGGAGGGCCCAAGAAGACCAATGTGTCCATTCTGGCTCCTGGGAATTCAGGGTATGTCGTCAACATAAGAGAGTCCTGCAGGCAGAGCAGCTTTGGGGAACATGGTTCTAGTTTGAACAGCAGGACTTTACAGTAGAGACATTTAGCCAACTGTTGAGATGCAGATCTCAGGCTCAGGCACAAAAATTTGGATCCTCAAGAAAAACAGGCATCAGGCCTAGTCCTGATTCTTAATCTGGACTCATCACAAGACTGGCACATCTTGTGATATAGCTGGTTCTTTCATTGTTCCAAACTGTCTCCTTCCTCCCTGGATGAGGACATATCCATATCATGTGCCATGAGACCTGAGGGCTCTCCCTAGGGGCATTTCACCACCCCATCCTTCACCCGGCCTGTCCGTAACTTGATAGGGCCTATGGAAAGCGAGAGAAGGAAAAAAAGGTGCCAGGAGGTCTAAATGGATTCCACACTTCCTCTCGGATTCTCTCTTTAGTCCTCTTTCTCTTCTCTCTCTCCAGTTTCCCACCCTTGGAAGGAAGAGCATGGACCACAGAAGGGCTGTTCCTTCAACCTGGGTTTCAGAGCAGGGAGACAAATGGAGCACCCTGGAGCTGAGTGTTTATTTACCACCTAAATTCAAATGGTGACCACTCACCCGCCAGGTGACAGAGTACTGGGAGGTAATTAAGGCATAGAAATGCATTTCAGTGAGTGGGATTAATGCTCTTACAAAAGAGTCCCGGGAGAGAGCCCCCTTGCCCCTTTCCCCATGTGAGGACACAGAGAGAAGGCTTTGTCTATGAGCAGGAAGTGGGTCTTGCCAGACGCAGATTCTGCCAGAGCCTTGATCTTGGATTCCCAGCCCCCAGAATGGAGAGAAATTCATCTCTGTTGTTTCTGAGCCACCCAGTCTGTGGGATTTTTTTCATAACCACCCAGATAGACGGAGACATTGACCCACAGCAACCACACAGCCACTGGCATCCTGTGGAAGGAGGCTGCTGAGATTTGGAGAGAAAACCCACTAAAACACACCTCTTGCCTGTGTTTTTCCAGCACTCCCTTAGACCAGTGGTTCCTAACGCTCTTGAGACCAGGAAAGATTCTGAAAGCCCAGTGATTTTTATGGCCTCATTCACAGAAAAACAAAGGTAGATTTTTTAAAATTCTAATGAGAGTTCATAGAAGCATGGGAGAACTGATCATGAATTACTAGGAGTCCAGGAACCCAAAGATTGTTCCCACTGCCCTTTTGGAGACAAGTCTAAGAATATATAAGAATAAAATAATCTCCCACCGATTAAGATCCATGCTCCAGATCAGTGCTTCTCACACTTTAGCACGGGCTGGGATCTTGCTAAATTGAAATAGGTTCTAGTTCTGCGTTTCTATCAAGTTCCTGCATATTACCACTGGTGCTATTCCCGGGACCTGCCTTTAGGCAGCATCGCTTAAACAAAAAATACTAAAATAGATGAATTATTGCCAATAATATCCTGGAGAGGAACAAATTAAAAGCCCCCACCTCATTCACCTGCAAAAAAAAGGAAAAATTTCTAATCATCTCCAACTTTACTTATGGTTGACTCAGATAGGACCTTGTTACTATATATGTCAAGAGGAAAAAACAAAAACAAACAAAACCAGTTCTCTTTGGTCTTTGCATTATAGGAAGCAAAAACCTCAGGCCCTGAGAAAATAAAGTCCCCAGAACTACTCTGAAATTTCCACTCTTACTTTTCTCCCTTTCTCGCTGTCTGGAAGGTAACAGTGTCGTGGGAAGCCACGGGCGCTGAAACTCTTGCCAGGGTTTGGGTGTTCTGGCCCCTGCAAGCAGAAAGAAAGAAAACAAAGAGGATTTTTCAACATAATTCTGGTGAGAAAAGAGTGCAGGCTGGTACTCATTAAATAGTGATGAAGATCATAATGGCCATAGAGTCTAGGCGGAACAGACCCCCAAAGCAGTGTGAGGAATCATTAAACACACAGACTGGGCATCCTTGGACCTGAGTTTGGACGGAGCTGCTACCTCCCAGCTGGATGTGCTGGAGCCCAATTCTGGGGCCTTTGATCCCCATCGATTTGATAGCAATGACATGGGATACTCACCTTGTGAGGCTGTTTCGCATGTTACACACATTGGGTGCCTGGTGCATGGAAGGAGCCCAGTAAACCTAAAACATCATCCCTGTCTTCATCATCTACTGTTTTACTGCGGCCCAGAAAAGTTAAATTCTTCCATAATGTTAGCGGCTTTGCTGAAAATTAAGCCCAGTTTTTCCGAGGTCTGTGGTCTACACGTTTTAGCTCTGAACTACTCAGAATCATCAAAGTATTTTGAGCTATGAACCCTGCAAGCAGAATTGCCTGAATGATTCCCATGTATTCTCCTTTGTCATCATGAATTTATGTTGGTTTTCTTATTTAGCATACGGATCAGGAGACTCAGGACTAAAAATCTTCTAACAATATTTTAGCCGTGGTTGCTCAATATCCTATTTAAAGCCCAGTCTCAGGCTACTGGGTGGGAACAAAAAAAACAAAACTGAAGCAGGATTGAATCAGATCCAGGTGCTACAATTGTGGATGTGGTTTGTCCCCTCTGAAACTCATGATGAAATTGCACAGTCATTGCAGCTGTGTTGGCAGATGGGGCTTTTGAGAGGCTGTTGGGTGACTAGGGAGAGGAATTAATGCCTTTCTAAAAGAACTTCTCCTTTCTCTCTTGAGGGACTGGATTAGTACTGTGAAAGCCTGTTGCTCTAAAGCAAGGTTGCTCCTTATGGTCTCCCACTTCCAYATGTCCAGCAGTCCTTCTGCTTCTGCCTTGAGTAGAAACAGCCCCTCACCAGATGCAAACAACAATCTTGGACTGCCCAGCCTCCAGAACTGTGAGCCACATGAATCTCTATTATCTATAAATGCTCAGTACTCTGTAACAGAAAACAGACTAAGACACCAACCTTCTTCATCAGAGGCCAGATGGGTTCATTGACCCCTTTGTGCAACTCATGAGAAGCAAGGCACTTTTTCTCAGTAGCAATGCATATATTTTCCACTCACACAAATGTCTGCGCATAATTTCGGAGCAACCCTAAACCTTGCAGGGATGGAACCCTATTTAAAAACCCCTTCCAGATACGACCAATTAAATATCAGTAGCTGGGCGCGGTGGTGCACGCTTGTCATCCCAGTGTCTCAGGAGGCTGAGGCAGGAGGATCGTGAGTTCAAAGCCAGCCTCAGCAAAAGCAAGGTGCTCAGCAACTCAATGAGACCTTGTCTGTAAAGAAAATACAAAATAGGGCAGGGGATGTGGCTCAGTGGTCGAGTGCCCCTGAGTTCAATCCCCAGTAACCCCCCCCCAAAAAAAAAATTGATAATTCTGTGCTGTTGTCAACAACAGCTCTCCCACAGATGATCAGCAAGTGTGTCATGGCTGCATAAATGAGTGAGTGAAGGAACAAATGAGCATACAGATTTTTCATTTTGTCTCTTTATGCACAGTGATCAAAAATTCTGTTGCTTTAATTTTTCTGAAAGCACAGTACAAGATCACTTCTGATTTTGCCATCTGCAGGGTGTGAGGACTGTACTGGGGTCTGGGGAAAGGCACACTTCCCTGGGCTAAATTTTTTTTTTTTTTTTTTTTTTTTTTTTTGGTGCTGGAGATTGAACCCAGGACCTTGTGCATGCAAGGCAAGCACTCCACCAACTGAGCTCTGTCCCCAGCCCCAACAATGCAATGTCTTCTTGAAGATGCAGGACCTGATGGTTCCAATTCCACACTTAAAGACATGACTACCTCACTAAGCCTGGCCGCCTGACTGAGGGGCCAAGTCCAAGCACCGGGCTGTGACTGCTCCTCCCCTTCCTGGGGCTGCTGCTTGTGTGTCCAGTGCAGAGTCCACCTGGCACTGACCCAGCAAGCCTGTGTGCTCTGGGCCTGTGGCCAAGCAGAGCAGTCACGACTCAGCCTCAGCCCGGCCCAGAGTTTCTCCCATGGGGAATTTTTCTCTGCAGTGAAGGTAATGCTTGAAAGTCTCACCGAGGCCCACACCGATGTGGCCCCTGAAGTCTGAAGAGACGGCACTGAGCATCCTGAGACTCTGAGACTACAGGATGGCCACCAAGACATGTATTTCTCTCGAGATGAGCTGGGGTGTGTTCCTGGAGGAGCCGGGGCTCTGCAGAGCAGCACGTGGATACCTCTAAAACCACAGCGCAAGCTCTTCCTAGCCCTAGCCCTAATCCTGACCCTGACCCTAGTCCTAACCCAGGCTGCCTGCTGTTCCTCCTGACTCACTCATGTCCTTACCACCCCAACTGGCCGTCTCCCCCGAGCAACACCCAGCTGTTTCTCTCTTGCTCTGGCCTTTCCCTTGCTGAGGCCCCATTACAGAGCCTGGACTACTGCAGTCGTCTCCTGATGGGTCTTGGTTCTGGTTGTCCTCTGCGCTTACGTCAGACTGTCCTTCCTGAAGCACAGACTCAACCCTGTGATGTTCCAAAATCTAATCACAACCCAGCAATCTTCAGGGGCTCCCTGCAGCCTAAGAAGGAAGGTCCTCACCCTCAGCCCTAGTGCTCAGGCCTTCTGTGGCCTGGTGCCGGTCTCCAACAATGCCTGGTCTTCAACATCTCTGTCATGCTCCCTCCTGTTTTGCAAGTCTTAGGCCCCCATTCAACTCTTCCTTATTGCCTTCAACACCCCTACTTTCTCTCCTCCACAACTGTTATACCCTCCAACTAAAAATGCTCTCCTCCATTTCTTCACATTTCCCAGGCTCCCTTAGAGAGTAACCTGCACCCGAAAGTCCCCTCTGAGCTGCAGACACACACACACACACACACACACACACACACACACATACACATACACACAAGCCCTTGTCCTTTCCAGGATGAGTAGGATACTCAATAATAATGGCACCAGGTATTGAGCACCTTAGTATTGTGCCCTTGCCCCAGGTGCACACACCCGCACAACACCTCTGCCTGTTAGGTGCCCGGCTGCACTGCTGAAGAAGCTAAGCTTGGAAAGATCAGGTGGCTGGCCCAGAGTCACCAGCAAGTAAACACTCCCACCAGGGTGCACGCCTATAATCCCAGCTACTGGGGAGGCTGAGGCAGGAGGATTGCCAAGTTCCAGGCCAACCTGGACAAGTTACGGAGACTTTGTCTCAAAAACAAACACAGGAAAACCAAAACCCAAACAACAAAACAAACAAACCCAAAGGGCTGTGGATGTAGCTCAATGGTAGTGTGCTGGCCTAGCRTGTAGGAGATGCTGGGTTAAATCCTCAGCACCCCCCACCCAAACACACATGCGCAACGGAGGCAAGAACCAGGCTGATCAGACTTTGAAGAACTTGCAGTTCTTTGTTCACTCTGCCTCGCACAACTTCTATCAATGGTGCACACCCAATTTTGCTCTCTAAATTAATTGGTGGTGTTCACTTATCTTTTCCTGACGGGTTGGTAAATCCCCCAAGGAAGAACCATGTTTTACTTAATTCTTTTATAGGCTATCACATGGGCCTGGTTATTTCCCCACGACTTATCACTATTTGGAAGCACCYGTTTGTCTGTTTGCTTTATGGTTTTCCTGGCCCCAGCAGAATGGGGACTTCAGGGAGAAAGGATCCTATCAGGGCTGCACCTGCCTTCTCTACTGCCAAGGGTATTCGTGATCCCTAATTCACATGCAGATATTTATTAAATGTAAAAAGACAAATAGGAGGGAGTARAAGAGGTAAACTAATCAACATTTGCTAAAAGTGGATCCAGTCTGCACCCTAGAACATTTGATAAAGCTTCATTGTGGGAAKAAGGGCCACAAAATTTACATCTGCCATCAGGAATATTGTTCAGATTTGTTCCTTGGAACTGTATTTAAAAGAAACAAAGGGGAAAGAAATGCCCATGAAACTCAGAGCCAGTAGTGTAGCTATCGAATAGTTGTGATCATGTAGCTATGGAATTAGAAATGCAAGTTACTGTTTGACAAAGAAATTCCACTTCTAGAAAATTATTCGACACATAAACAGGTACAGGGCTGCACGCTGGGCAAGGTTCATATGTGTACAAGTTTATTCATCCCCACATTATTCGTTGTAGCAAAAGATTGGAAATAATCCGTATGTATTCTCATCTGATTGAGACGGTTGAATTAAATTATTTACATGATGGATTATTGTGCAGACATAAGAAAGAAAGAGGAAGTTCTCTCTGTACTGAAAAACCTACAGACTATATTGTTCATTGAAAAAAAATGCAGAGTATGAAACAATGTCCCCAAATGTCAATCATTGTGTAAAAATGGGAGGGGCGGATACAATTTCTGTGGCCTGGGCACAGAGAATCCTGGAAGGGTCCATGAGAAAATAAGAACAATGCTAGTGGAGGGGGAGAGGAGGGGGGATTAGATCTGTAGAGGGGGAACAAGGGTGGGGAGGAGACTTTTCAGAGCATAAAACATTTCGAATGCAAACATTTAAACTTAAAACTATAAAAGGCAACTGCTGAGGGTGGGCTCACCTGAATGCCCGGGGGGATGCTGTAGATAATCCGGATGGTTTTGCAGTCTGGGTGGCCAGGCAAGGAGTGGGGGATGAGGTGGTACTCCATCTTCCCTGGAGGCTGGGTGCCTGTCTTCACCCCATAAATGGTCTTACAGGTTGGGCACTGCAGACTCCCATCCTGAGGAGACAAGGTCAAAAGAGCCAACGTGGGAAACCGTTTTGCTAATGACCTTCCCACCCAACCTCAAAGGTACCAGAGATCAAGGGCAAGGGGGAAAAACTGGATCCGACCTCCGACCCCACACTAGACCTGAAATCCTGACTAGCTACATAAGCCACGGCTGCTATCTCCAAAGTAACAGAAAGAAAATTCTACAAATAGCTTTAGGCTCCAGGCTAAGGAACATAGAAAGGACGCCCCTGTCATTGATGAAGAGGCCAGGCAACTAGGGCAGGGAGCCCACAAAGGGAATCATCATCTAATATCTAAGCCTCACATGGATAGAACAGATAGCAAGCTCTCAAGAGCAGCGACTTCCCAATTGATGACCACCAGGATCATTTGAAAGCTTCTTAAAAATAAAGATGCTTGGACCCCACACCAGGCCCACAGTATCAGAATTGGGCGACTGCAAAGTGTAGTGGTTTGGAATGTGAGCTCGCAAGTCAGACTGCCTGGATTTACTCTGCCTTCTACCTGCTGTATGACCTTGGACAAATCAATTATCCTCTCGGAGCCTCAGTTTCTTTAGAGAGCCAGAAAAACAACGGTATCTGTCTCACTGGGTTGTTAGAATACTATATGAGATCATCCATAGGACGTGTTTTGCAAGTGGCATATCTAAGTGTGATCGGTCTCTTCATGATTTCTGTGAAAGGACTAATAAACTCAGGTTTGGAAACCACTGCCAGGAAAAGATAAATTGAGCACTGTGTTGGAGAAAATAAAGACAACTTTAAACAAATGACCCTTGAAGAATAAATAGGCTTAGAATGATGGAGGATAAGTTCTGCATAAACAACCAGAGGAGAAAATGATGCCGTAATTGTCACACTTTAAAATCTTACAACAGAATCTACAATGCTTGTTTCACATCAGCCTCACCTTCTGACATTAGYTGGGGAGGAATTATAAACCCCTTTCACAGATAAAGGAGCTGAGGCACAGCAAGATGGAGGGGCTCATCACCAGCGAGGGTCAGAACACCTGCGAGTGCATCTAAATCACCCCCACCTCACCCCACGGCACTGCACTGCCCCCCAGTGGCTCTGCTGGTGGCCCAGGGGTTTCCAGACAGATATGAAAGGGTGTGGTTTCACAGGAGAGCCTGGTGAGGTGCCACCTGCTGTGGCAGGGAGGGTGGGGAACCCTGCGGGAGCCCCCCACAGCARATCCTATTTCCAGGCTCCCAAAAGGAAGGGAGAAGGACGCCTGTGCTGACAGAGGACTTTCCCACAGCTGGGACCAAAGCTCTCTTCAGATGTCCCTCCCCCAACTCTTTGGGAAGATGCAGATCCTCTGAAAAGCTATTTGGGGACATCTCCATGGAAGTTCTACTCATTTAGAGGAACAGCTCACATTGGAGTCAGCTCCTCTCTAAAGCTGGGATCCCACTCCCCGCCCAGGCCTTAGCTTGTTTCATGGCCTCGGGGGGCATGGCTCCATCCTATTCAGGCCCTTTCCCCTCATGTGTTCGATAAAATGAAAACACAGGCTTCCAAGTGTAAGTGCAAAAGAGAACAAAGGAGAGCGCCTCAAGAGACATTTTTGAAACTACKGACGTCAAAGCAAATAGTTACGAGACATTCTTGGACACGGTCAAGCCCAAAGGAAAGAAAGTGCTAAGAAAGCCCTTTAAACTCAGAGTAACCTCTTAAACTCTGAGGCTCCAACGGAAGCTGTCAGGCCAGGGTCAGGATAGTGAACTGACTGCATCCCACACCTTGTCTGTCTGGGACGCTGAGAAAAGTCTCAAGGTTGGCACTTTGGGAACATCAACACAATAAGCTGTGTAAAGGTGAAGGGGGAACACTATAGCCATGATACACCAGAGGAATTCTTTTGGATAATAATAGTAATAACACCTTACAAAGTGGGTATTGTTATATCTGCATTTTCCAGATGGAAAAGGAAATCTCAGAGAGCCTGRAAAAAAAATCTTGCCCGAGGTCATTCAGTTCCTAACCAGGACCCATGCTCAGGTCCATACCCTTTTACTGCCTCTGCTCTTCCCCTAGTAAGAGATGAACAGAGCAGCTTCTGAAATGCAGGTAGTTTTTGGAGGAGTAAGAAGTGGGGAGACGTAAGACTCCTCAGACCAGCCAGGGGAAGAATGTGGAGGGCGCTCATGTTCTTGGTCCTCCACATCCTACCAGGGGCAGGGCAGCAGGCCCCCGGGGACACTGACCTTGTTCCCATTGTTGTACATGGCGACCAGGCAGTAGATGTGGTAGATGTGGCCACACCTGGACAGCTTTCCTACCAGGTCAGGCTTGACGGTGGGCTGTGGGCCCTTGTAGCCCGAGGGAGCRGTGAGGCGCTCCATGCAGATGGTGCAGTCCTGTGGTTGGGGATGAGAGGGGAAGAGGAGAGAGGACATCAGTTCTCACCAGCCTGGGCAGCCGGGGTCCCTCTGTGGGGGTTCCCATGGGATGGCAGAGGCCCGGTGAGCTGTCACTCCTCCTCTTCTAGAAAGGTGACAAATCAGGGGTGGAGGGTGTGCTTTTAGAAATCTTGCTTGACACGACAGAGAAATTCCTGAAGTAATTCCTGGTAGTGGTTAATATGTGAACTTGGGCTTGTCAATCACATTACAACCCCTGACCAAGCCCTGTCCTCCAATGGCTTGCGAATAGGCACACTGACAAGCTTCACTTAAGCTGAACTTGGGTAAAGGAATCATGTTTCCCATACACCAGAGAGGCTGTTWTTTAAATAAATTTATGGCTGATTTCTCAACTTCAGCGGTGTTAACATTTGATGGAATGTTACTGTGGCTACTGTTTGCTGTGGCTACTGACCTGGGCTTTGTAGAGGGCTTAGCAGCTTCCCAGGTCTCTATCCCCTAGATACCAGTAAACACCCAAGCGGATGTCCCCTCAGGGACAAAATCTTCTCAGTTGAGAACCTCGGGTCTATGTCAATTCCATTCCAAAGTGCGTGCACGTGGCTGAGCATGCTGTTTTTCCTAAATTCCAACTGTCATGTAAAGTAGCTTAGACTCCATCAGCACTCCGCTAAAGGGGAAAGGTTAAGCTACAGCTGCAGCTCTGACCATGAACTTGGGAGCCTGAGCTCCAGCTTGATTAGCTCTGTACCAGTCAGGGATTAGCGAGCGGCTCCTCCACATCCTGCAGAAAACTACTACAGAGGAAATGACTGTGGGTGATGGGGAAGGCGAACCGTGCCCTACTTCCCCTGCACTCACCTCCTCTGGCGGGTGCCGGACCTTCTGCAGATACTTCTTCAGCACTTCCTCTGGCGTTTTACCTGGGAGGACAAAGGGATCCCTTGGGTTAACAAGGCAGAGGTAAGGGATCCACCAAGCCTTGCCATCCTAAGTGTGCCAGAGAGGAAAGTTACAGTCAAGTTCAAAAGCAGAAAAGGGAGCAATTTATTCTGCAGTTGGCTTTAAGAATTCTAAAGGAGCCAGGCACGGTGGTGCACGCCTGTAATGCCAGTGGCCCGGGAGGCTGAGGCAGGAGGATGGCAAGTTCAAAGCCAGTTTCAGCAATTTAGCAAGGCCCTAAGCAATTTAGAGATACTGTCTCTCAATTAAAAAAAAWTTTTTTTAAAGGGGCCGGAGATGTGGCTCAGTGGTGAAGCACCTCTGGGTCAATCCCTGGTACCAAAAATAAATAAATAAATAGGAAAAAAAAGGAAGAAGAATTTGAAAGAGAGTACAGGTTGTAGAGGGCTGGAGAGAGGTTTTGAGGAGGGAGAGATGTTCTCATCTGCCTTTACCCTTGCAACCACTTCCCTAATGGGCTTCTCTCCATTTTCAATGAATCCACATTTTAACAGACATACGTTGAGTGAGTTTCTCTTCCTTATAATCAAAGAGCCTGGACTAGCTCAAACGATCCWATGAGATAACAGAAATGAAAGCCCTTCATCCACTGTTAGGTGTTAAGGAAGCATTAGGCAGTGTGACCACATACACTTTCCAATTCGCTAAGCACTGTCTCAGTTGATAATGTGGCACCAAAGTAAGACATTTGTAAGGGAAAATAGGAAGCTATGACCCCCAGCTTTAGGACAGCCCTCCTTGGTTTTGGACGATGCTGTCATGGCCAGCAGACACAGCCCAGCAGCAGGGTAGAGGGAGACTCTGGGAAGCATCCTGACAGGCTGCCATGATCCAGGGATTCCTTTGGGAGCTGGAGCCTTAGGAGACCATCCAACCTGAAGGAGGTGGCCGGAGTGACCCAGGCTTACAAGGAGCCACAGAGGAAGCAAGATCAGTGCCACTCTGGGCTACTTGCTTCACTTTTTTAAGCTGTTTTTTTTTTTTCCTATAAAAATGGGGAAGATTGATAGCACCCACCTCAAAGGGTTGCTTTGACAATTAATAGGCTCCGGGGTGAACAGCCCTTCATCACGTTGCCAGATAAAGATGCAGTGTGTGCTATTAATAATAGCAGGAAGAGTGGRAAAGTGTAAAATCCTGTCACTCCCAATCAGACCACGAGCAAGGCAATTGAGTTCATTTCGGCAGGGAAATTTTAATAGACTGGAAAAGTAGGACAAGAGTTTGAGGAAATGGATCGTGTAACAGCCCAAAGCTGAGGTGTCAGCCCTTCCCTCCACTGTCCTGCTTCTCTGGTAAGAATTAATTTTTTTTTTCCACCCTGGGATTGAATCCAGGGTGTTTCACCCTGAGCTACATCCCCAGCCGTTTTTATTTTTTATTTTGAGACAAGGTCTCACTGAGTTCCCGAGGGTCCTGCTAAGTGGCTGAGGCTGGCCTTGAACTTGTGATCCTCCTGTCTCAGCTTCTCAGGTTGCTGGGATTTATAGACCAAAAGGACAAAAGCTATGCCAGGTTCTTTTGGTGCCAGGAAGGTAGTAATATGAACCCCTTGGTAGCTGGGTTGTGGGCAGGTAGGAAGGGGATCCTGAAGGAGATTCAAGTGTCCAGAAGGTCTGGAGAATCTAGGTGGATACAAGTCCCTGGCTTTGTCCCAACCTTCATGGCTACTTTCCAGGACATTCGTGCTGAAAATTGGCTGTGGACAGTTTTGCCCCATGATGAAGATGAGAAAACAGGTTCCACATGATCATACAACTAGTTAGGCTGTGAATCCACTTTTGTTCTAACACTAAAGTGATCTTTCTCTTCTAGCATATCTTCTCTGTGCCATACCTAATATTTTAGTTTCTATGTGTTTGCACCGCATATTTCTATTTCCCAACGTTTTTCCATCTGCTTCGTACATAGTGTACTTTAGTGTGACCATCAGAGTCTGCTAGCGAGGCCCACCTAGATACAGAAAGCAAGGCTGTGCCCCTGGTCGGGGAGGGAGCCAGGGCTTCACGGTGGGTATCCCCTKGGATGGAGAGGCTGGTACCTTTCCTGGCTTGTTTTTTGGTGGTCTTGCGGCTCGTGTTGGAAACCCCAGGAATGGACTTGATTTCGCTCTTGCTGACGGGAGGTGGGTGCAGGACCAGCTTTGGCGGCCTGGTGAGACATACAGGCAATCCAGCTGCACTCATGAGGATCCCTGTGATTCCTGGAAGGGGCAGGGCACGGTGAGGAAGGGCTGAAGAATGAGCTCCCAGCACTCCCCGAATTCCTCTCTCCCCATCAGCTGACTCCTGCTCCCCAGCAGAGAGTTCCCATGACTCATGGATTCTCTAGTGTGCTTGGCAATCTCTCCCAAACTCTCCCTGCCCTCCCAGGACAGTTCCTAAAATCCCTGTTTGCTTCTGAGAACATCCCAATCCTCTCCTCTACGCAGATGCCCACCACCTGTTTCATGGCTCCGATTTTTCTACCCCAGCAAGTCCAGCCCCGGGCAGCTCTTACCAGCCAAGGCAGGGTTGACGGGACTGGAACCATTTAAGTTTTTCACTGGGACAGTGGGGACCCTGTGGAAGGAAAAAGTAGATACATTACGGTTTTGACAAGCAGGACAAAATGGACCGGTGCTAACCCTACTGAAGGTGCCGGAGGTTCTTAACACAGCAGCGGAGGTGCTGGGCCACTCCACCACTCAGAACCTTGAACCACAGAATAGCTCAGTTTTCACTCAGGGTCAAAGTCAAAGTCCTAGCAAGGCTTACACAGCCCTGCATGATTTGCCAGCACCCTCCATTCTGTTCCTCTCTGGCCTCCTCTCATCACATGCCCCTTACTCTGCCCTTGCTGCTTCTCCTACATGCCAGAGGCAACAGCATATGCCTCCGAGCCTTTGCACATGCTGTTCCACTTGGCGGAAGTGCTCTTCCACCAGGCATAGCTTCCTCCTCCACGCCCGCCCGCCCGCAGTCTGGGCTCACATTTTACCTCCTTAGTGAAGTTCCTGAACCCGTCTTATTGAATACTGTTTCCTACCCCTCCACCCCACCCTGGCACTTCCAAACCTTCTTATCCTACTGGCAAGTTTGAGACCAGCCTTTTATTCCCTGCCCCCCCCCATAGAACTTATGATCTTTCAAAATAAGTTGTTGCTCCTCCGCTCCTTTCTAGAATGTAAGCAAATATCTTTGTTTTGTTCAGTGACTGGCACCCGTAGGCATTCAATCAATATGTGTTGAAGGGATGAAAAGATAAAGAAGCAAGTTCAGATCTCAGTGTATAAAAGAGCCACCCTGAGATGCTTTCAAAAGGACGGAGAGCCCTGGGCCCAGATCCGAATCTCCACCTGTGGAGCACATGGAGCCGMATTTTTTCCAAAGCTCCTTGAGAGGATGCAGATGTCGCCAACCCCAGGCCCAGCTTTTGGAAACCACTGTTTGAACAGCTGTCACTTCTCCTTCTCCCTGAGACATAAACATCAGGCACAACCTCCTCCCCTCTCTGTCCTTCTCTCCAGCAACGGCAAGCCAGGCTGGAGAAGAGAGGCACAGCTGCCTGGGAAAGGCCCGGCCGCCCACAGCGCCGACTAGGAAAATATGGGACACGTGGGCTGGGGCTTACGCCATCCCCTCTGCCACCCACACTCCACAGCTGGCTTGCAGAGGACAGTGGACCCGGTCAGTTGCTTCCAGGAGTAACACAGTCTGAGAAGCCAGCAGCTCTGCTACAGGGTAGAGCGATTCTGGGCAATGGGAAGGAGAAAAGAGTATGTTTATTTATGTATTTGAAAAGTACTTATTGCACCCTACTTTGTGCTGGATACTGTGCTCCAGGCTGGGGACACAGCAGTGAACAGGACAGCCCATGGCTTCATCTTTGCATTATGATCCCTGACATGCACAGAGCCTCCTTCTTCCAGAAACGGTTCTAACCGCTCACAACATACAAACCCGTCGGTCCTGACCACAACCTATGGAAGAGGACTGTTGTTAACCCTGTCTTATAGGCAAGGAAGTTGAGGTGCACAGGTAAGCAAACATGACCAGAGTCACTCGGCTAAACAAACCAATCACACCCCAGAATCGGGCTCCTCCGGGGACATTCACTGTGTCACTCACTACTCTGAGCTCTTACATCATCCCCAACACCCAAGCACCCCATGCTGTAGGGTAACAAGGAAACCCAGTACTAGGTGGGAAGGTGGGGAGCAGGAATGGGAGCACAGAGGGGGCCTCCCCAGCTACTCAGAGCCTGCCTGGGCTGCTGTTCTCTCCCAGGAACGAAGACACATGCAGCAAAGATGGGAAGATGGGAGAGTGGGTGGGTCTCAACAGGCCACCAGAAGACACTTTCTTTGGAAACTCCCCTGGATAAAGCAAACCTGGATGTAGAGAGGAGAAAGCTGAACAGGTGCCAACAAGCCAAGAACAGCTGGGCTCTGGGACCTGCCCTGCAAGGCCAGGTGTGGTATGATGGACACACAGTCYAGAAAGCTGGACTCCAGTCCCAACCCTGCCAAAAGTTCCTCACAGTCAATGTGGCTGTCTTGATGTCCTTGTCTGTAGAACAGCCAAGGTCTTTGTTTAGAGGATACCTTCTTGACAGCTCCCCACCCCGGGACCTGAGAAGGTGGCCTCCTTAGCCCAGGGCAAAGAGCCACCTCCTGTGGCCTGTACCTCTGCTCCCCACCAGAGGGCAGCACTTGCCACCCAAACCTGCACCTGCCCTTTTTCCTCTTGCCATCTCCAAGTCCCCCACTCCAGCTGATAAGTAGCTGTGATCTGGGTGACAAAAGCCACCTTTGTTCCCACAAACTGGACTGGCAGGTTTCCACACCCAATCTGGTCAACCAGGAAATACTCCAACCCCCGCCCCCACAGCAGCCTAAGAACTGTGGGGGTGGGGGAGAAGGTCTGGGAAGAGGAAGGGGAGGGCCTGAAGGTGGGACATGAGAGAACACAGGACACTGGGGGGCCAACAGGTGGGAGAGGAGCCTGTCCTTGCTTGTTAGGAATGGGGCAACGTGGTGGGAGGGCTTGTTACAGGCTGTGGGTAGCAATGGGGCCCAGGGTAGGGTGGGGGATATTTGTTTAGGGAGCAGAGCAGGATATAAAGGAGCCCTGCACATGGCTCYGAATGTCCATCTTAACCCAGCTCAGCTCTGATTTGCTTGTGCCTGCAGTAGAGCTGCCTCGCTTTTCTGCAGTTTCCTGAACACATTTGAGTTACCCCAGCTGTAAATAGGGCACCCCAAATGCCTGCCCCCACCCCCCACCCCCGCCCCATCCCGCCCTGGGGGTCCCTGTGAGGATTCAGGATCTAGGTCAAATACTTTGCAAACAGCTGAGCCCTATGCAAATTTGGGTGGCTGTTTACACTTTTATGTCCAACTGTCAAAGGACCATAYTGGGCTTAGTTACTGCCGTTTCCTGCTTGAATGACCCACTTTCCAAGATTCTTGAGGACGGGAGACTCTAGTGTAAAGGTGCAGAGTTGAACGCTGAGCAGTTCTGGGGGTTGTTCAGTTGGCAACACCTGATCTCCCCACCCCCACGGTTCCCGATTGAAAGGAAAACCCTGGAGAACAGCCCATGTGGCCCACTCTGTTGGGGCCCCAGCAGTATTCGCCTGGGCCCTCCTTCTACCAAACTGCCACCCCACAGTAGGCATGCCTGTCACATCCTCCAGGCAACTCCGCTCAGCCAGAGGCCTCTGGGCTGACTACTTTGTTGGCCGATCACCAACAAGAAGACCCCCTCCCAGTCTGTTGGGCCAGTTCCCAGTTATGGAGGGTCCAAGTTTTAATTTCCATTGATAAAATATAAAACCAAGAAAGGACAAGGGTTTGACAAGATGAGGGGGGAGGAGAGGCTGAGGCAGGGAAACTCTCCTGCAGATACCATGGTGAAAGGCAGTGCTTTTCTGAGTTATGCACCAACCCAGGAATCCTCAGGCAGGACAATGGTCTGGTCTCTAAGGCAACTGTAGCCTCGCTGGAGAGAGGAGCCCAGACAGAGGAGGAGAGGGCCAGAGGGGCGGCCCTGCCTGCCACCACACAGCCCCCCCCCCACCCTGTAGAAACCCCCTGCTTGTGTCTCTGAATAATTCACAGAATCTTTTGTCCCCCCCACCCCACCCCAACCCCTGTCTTCATCCCACTTCTCCCGCCCTCCCTCGTCTTCCCTTTTTTCCGTGGGAAAGTTGCCTGAAGAGGTCATGGGCGGAAAGAGGAGGGGGCGGGGCCACACGACAGAAGGTGGATGGCAATCCCAGACAAAGGGAATAAACACGCTCATTAAATGACCAAGAAAGGCAGGAGCAGAGGATGGCAGTGGGGTGAGAGAGGTGGTAGGAGGTGAAAAGGAAAGTGCTGGAATCTAGACAGGGGTAGGCAGGAGAATAGAACAGAATGAGAAACAGCTCATTTCTATAGCCCTGTGGAAACTGCACTGTGCAGACCTCCACCCCATTCTCCAGGTCGGATACTAGTGACAGGCAGAGGGAATAAAGACCGGAGATAAAGTGCTACCGACTCCCTCATCAAGATTCAAAGCAACTGGGGGGCCTCTCCCTCAATGATGGCATGAGGTCACTTGGCCCTTGTCAACAGTGCCAGAGAGGAGGAGGCACGATAGACCTGCTCAGCTTTGACTTGATTTCAGCAACTCCACAGTATATATTCAGTAGATACCTGCTAGTAATMATGGTAGCAGCTCACGGTGACTCAACTGAGCATGTGTCAAACATTCTGCTAAGTCTACACAATGAATGTCTCAATAGACCCTCATGAGAACTCTGAAGGGAAGGTAACATTACCGCTCCATTTGACAGATAAGAACACTAAAGACAAAGGATGAAGAACTTGCCCCAGGTGGCACAACTAGGAAACTGGTCTCAAATCCCAGTCGTGAGGATTTGGAGGCCATGTTCTTATCTAGTGCAGGAACCTCCCTTGAAAGCCAGYGATCACCCTGGAGCYCTGTTAGAGGACCCCAGAATGCTGCTGCAGGACAGTGTGGAGAAACCAAACTCGGCATGGTTTCGGTGCCTATTTYCCTCTCCAAATATTCCACCAGTTAAGAGTATGTCATGAAAATCTCCTGTATCTGGCTTGCATGTTGCCAGTTAAGAATTGCTTTGCCTTCAATGAGGAGCTGGGCTTTAGCCAAAACAAAAGTGGACCAGGACACTGAATCCTGGGTTCCAAACCTTCCTTTTAACACACGAGCTGAGCTGTGAGGACCTCCTGGAGAGTTCATTCTACCTGTGCCTAACACTTGTATTGGAGTAAAAGAAGGAGATACTGCTGAAGAGCGCATCTGGTGAACTCCTGTGGAGGTTTTCACAATGATTCCATGGTAGGTAAGGCAAGTCCAGTGTCAAACARTGATATTGGACCTTGCAAAATTCTGTGGCTTAATCCAAATGGCAGAGGCAGGAGTAGAGGCCAGGCCTCCAAATCCCAGCCTGATCCTCCTGGCACACTGCAGTGTATGCTCCCTCCCTTTCTCCTCCCAGTGCTAAGCCACTGTGTGCAGAGAAACAGCACAGTGTTGATGGTGCCTCCTCAGGGCAACCTGGACTTTCAGACTCGGGCATCCAATGCAATCCTAAAACCATCCTGACCATCTGGAGCACGGGGCCTGCTGGCAGAGCCAGGTCTCTCTAGAGAAAGGGAAGATTGGTTGGGTGTATGTAGGAGGCTGACCAGAAACCAGGGGCTGGCAGGCTCAGGCTGCAGATGTTGCACATGGACTTGGGTTACTCCCATTTTATGATCAAGAAGATCAAGAATATAAAAGGCCATCCTAACAGAACCCACAGCATCACCACATTGCTGCTGGAATACCTGAGACAATAAACAGCAAGAAAAAACATGCATTTGGCACCTACTGCATGCCAGCACCATGGTACATGCTTGGCAGGGAGGCAGCACTATGGAGTCAGAATCTGGCTCCAGCGTCAAGGTTTCTAAAGTCTGAATCTCAGAACCTACCAACCTAGCTATGTGCTCTTGAGCAAGCGAACTTTGATTTTCTTCATCTGTACAAAGGGAAAATGATGCCTATCTCATAGAGTTGTTGTAAGGATTAAATGAGAGGAGAAAACCCCCAAACCAGAACATGGTGGGAGCTCGGTTCCTGCTGCTCATTATGACTTGATATAAACTTCTTTAATCCTCACAGTGACTTTAATGTGAATAGGATTGCCAGCATTTACAAATGAGGAAATTAGGGCTCTAAGTTAGAGATCTTGCCCCAAAGCACCCACAAGGGAAAGGCAAAGTCCCACCTAGAATCCAGATGTGTTGGACCACAAACTGCTAAGCCTCCCTCCCCCATACTATGTGGCCTTCACCTGCAGCCTGGGTCAGCACAAGATGAGCAGAGCTAAGGTCTTGGCAGTCCCTCTTAACTCTGACCCACAAGGCCAGTCATAGGTTCTGCCTGAGATGAATAAATGCCCTGAGCAGCCTTGGAAGCACCTACCCGGAGGCGATCAGCACCCGGGACTGGGCRATGGCCAGTCGCTGCAGGTTGGTTCGATTCAAGGTAGCCAGGGCCACCCTCCCGGTCTTGCTGTTGGCTCCTGGGGGGCTGGCAGGAGAGCCTGCAGTTGCCCCAGCTGGTGTGCCAGAGGCTTGTCGCCGGATCGTCTGCGATGGGGCGGTCTTCACTGGGCCTCGAATGGTGCCGGTACTGTCCAGTGGCTTGGCCCCAGGGCCTGGTGGTGGGGGCAGCTTGACCATTCCAGAGGGGGGCACATTCTTGCGGGTGGCTGTGGGCTGCAGGGGCCCGTGGCTCCCGTTGACCACGGCCGCCTTGACGCTCATCACCAAGACACACTGCGGACAGGAGCAGGGTGGTGCCGGAGGCGAGGTGGCAGACCCAGGGCTGGCCGGCCASGACTGAGTCTTCGGCAGGGTGCCGGTGACCATAGGGTAGATGAGGTCSAGACGTCGGCGGACTCGGCGCTGGCGCTGGGTCTGCCGGTTGATCTGGCCCATGGTGCTGAAGTCAATGACGTAGCTGAAGCCGATGGACGTGAGGTCGATCCAGGGGTGCTGCTTCTCATAGGCGTGCTGGATGGTGATGCCCACCTCCATGTCATAGGGCGTCCAGGAACCGTTGTCATTCTCCCACTCCCACACCACGCCCTTCCCGGGGGCCGAGGAGGGGTCGTAGTAGTTGCGGCGAACTGGGCGGAGGGTCCCTGCCAGAGGAGGACAGAGGAGAGCTCAGGGTCAGCGTGGACTACACGGAACTGCATCACGTTAACATGCAAACGTCAGAGGAGCCCCGTGTGCTCTGCGGTACTCGGAGGCGTCAGCTCTGAAGGAGAGCATTCATTCCTGCCTTTGAGGAGTCTGCTGTCAAAGCCGGGCAGAAGCAAGAAGTAACAGCAAGGAGACCCGGGGCAGAGCGGGATGGCCGAAAGGGGGCCTCCTGGATGGGAGAGCACCCAAACAATTTAGGGCTGGGATGGGGCTCYGTGGTAGCATGTGGCAAGGACCTGAGTTCAATCCCCAGTATTAATAAATAAATAAATAAAATTTAAAGAAATTTTTTTTTAAAAAAATTCACTTACTAGCTAATATGGAACTCTTCAACCAACCCTTCTCTCCTGAGACAGTATAACCCCTTCATCTGCTTTTTTGTAAAAATTAGACGTGACTCATTTATTCATTGGGTAAGTGTATGTTTGTGCATGCCAGATACTGGATTTCATATTGCATGTAGGGATATAATGTCCTTGAAACATAGTAGGTCCTTTTAACTCTCGTATCTGACTATCATATTCTTTCTTCTCTGTTGCCCTATGCCAAAGACTATGCAGAAAACCAACCCAGGACACCTACAGGATGGAGGAACAACTTTGCTTCCACTCAAGGACTATTCAGAGGCAGAGGTGATGGAGCTGGCAGTAGCTCTTTATAGGTGCAGTTAAAACACAAAATGGTGCTGAAGTCAATGACGTAGCTGAAGCCTACAGTAACCTGTGAGAGAACTCTTAAGTATTTCCCAACACTAAATCTTATATCCACAACAAAAACATTCTCTATGGGCCTGAAGGATAATTTTACAATTATCTATGTCTTTCTTTCAGAAACATCCAACCCTTCTAAAGATAGCATTTTAATGTTGACAGTCTCATAGTGGGGCAGGGAAGAGGTCAGGGTTATTACRGGGTAAAGGTATAAACAGAAACAAATCAGCAGGATTGGAAGGGAACAAGGCTTGGAAGGGAACTATTGTCCTTTTCCCCACTACCCACCCCAATCCTAAATCCAGATCCATTCCAACCAGGGCTCATTTCATGGTATCAACATCAAGGGTAAAGACGCCTGTCTCTAGGCAGGACGAGGAGGCTGGGGAGTGCTCCAAAGATGCTGGAATGTCTGCATCTGTCAGCTTAAGCTCTATCCATCAAAGTGGTGGGAAAAGGCTCCCCTCGTTGGCCTCTGACCCACTCCCTCCTCCAACCCAGAGGGAGACACCAAGAATYGGGACAGAATCCCATTCAAGGGGGGAAGAAAAGGAACAATGACCATTCAGGACTTTGCCAGGGTCATAACCTGCCCCCCACCCCATCCCCAAGCCCCTTAATGACCCAAAACATCAACATTCAGAGGCACAAGGGAGAAGCAGAACAATCCCCTATTCAGYACCAGGGCCTCTGCTGGGGGATGTAGGGACATCAGGATGGGGTGTGGGGGCGGCAGGAGTTCCCTAGTTAGCCTCCATTTCCTTCCTAATAACCAACTTGCTGRAGAACAAAGAATGTGGCTTTAGGTAGAGCAGGAGAGATTCTTCCAGCTGTGTGATAAACCTCAGCTTCCTCATCTGGGTCCTGGGCAGCTACTTCAACAGGTGGATGTGAAGATTAAACGAAGGAACGAATATCAAGCAGCAAGAACTCAATAAAACAGGGATTATCATTGTAATTGACTTTCTATTGTATGTCCAAGCAGGATGGAAGTTATGGGGAATCCTTAGTTCAGGGATGCAGTCAGTGTGTGTGTGTGTTAGAGAGAGAGAGGGGGGGAAAGAGAGAAAGGGACCAGAATTTTCTATTTGGCTCATATTTGCACAAACTTTATTACTTAGAAAGCACCTCATATATGCCAGCCCATAAAATTCTCATGGCAATCCTATAAAACACCTTTTGCAGATGAGGTAATTAAGTTTTTGGAGTTTACACAGCACTCTTTTATAGTCTCTGCAGGGTAGTAAGAACAATGCACTTGAGCAATTCTCTCGAATGTGGGCTGTTTTTTTTTTTTTTTCTTGACAATACTGTTGACCTGGAGATGCCTGAGATTTATACCAGGACTTCTGAAGACCATGCCAGGGCTCTATTTTCCAAGTTCATCTTCTTCTATCCCTGTATTGTCCTCTACTCCTGTCAAATAGAGGCTGCCTTTATCCTCTCKCATTCCCTGGGGGTTCTCTGACTCCCTACCCCATCGTTCATAGGGCCCTTCTACCAGAAACATCCTCTTTTGCCCTTTTTGTCTACTGAAATCTTCCTTATCCTTCAGGTCCTCTGTCACTTGCCACCCAATTCTTGAGATATTCTCCCACCCTGGGTCCCCCGACCCCAGGAAGTTTGAAGCCGCAGATCTTGACTGGGCCTGCTGAGCACAGGTGTCTTCACACTTTGCCTAGGTGTCCAGAGTCAGGGAAGGGACATCCTGCACAGCTGTCTGCATTCCAGTGCCTGAGGCAGTGTCTGAGTTACAAGGGCTCCACACACTGTGCTGTGGCTGACTGAAGACCCCTGATCTGCAGTGACATTTAATCATTGATCACATATTGCTGAGCATCCCCCATTCGTTTCTATGGAGAATGCAAAGATTCAAGCATTCTTCAAGCAGTGCACAGCCTAAGACAGCATTAGAAGACAAAGTACAAAATATACCACATGAAGGATGCCAACAAAATGCATGGTGAATCTAGCCACATCTCCTCCCTGCTTAAATCTCTCTGTAATGTCTCCTTAGGTAGAGACCAAATCCCCACCCCACCCCSCAGCCTCTGCAGCCACCTCACACCCTAACCTCTTCTGTTCACTTTTCCTTGCACTGGCCTTCAAACTCTCCCACTGTTATGCTTCTCTGATTCTGGCCTCTTCACAATGCTTGGTTTTCCCTCCTAAAAATATGGCATTTTCTTTATTGTTCATCCTTCAGATTAAAGATCATTTCCCAGGAATTCATTCTGGGCTGCCCTGACCAGATCAAGTTCCTGTTCCTATTTTTTTTTTTCAAAGTCTTATCTCAATGTGCAGTTACACATTTATTTGTTGCTAGTTTGATGAGTACCTGTCTCCCTCCCTCAAGTCCCAATCCTGTGATAGTGGGCATCATGGTGTTCACTCCTACGTCTATCTCACATGCCTTGCATGTCCCAGGGGTTCAATAAATATTGCGTGGATAAATGAGGTAATGTTGGAATGGAAAATATTTGAAGAAATGGATGAAAAGTGGCATAGGACTTGAGTGATACAGAGAATTTCAATGGGCAAAAATGCTAAGGAACAGCATTTCAGTAGACAGGACCTTACGAATAGTTGTGGGGAGGGGAAAAGGATGGAGAACTCTGAGAAAATATAAGACATAGAAGAAGATAATCCTGGACAGGATGTCAGAGCCAGGGCACAGGAAGTCTGGATCATCAAACTGCAATGGATTTAATTTGGAGGCAATGAGGAGTCAAGTTCGTTAAACAGAAGTGGAAAGACCAGAGCTGCTCTATTAATTAGTTCCAAGTGAGTAGAGGCGTGGTGGGGAAATGAAAAAGAGATGACAGACGAAAAAGACCCTACAAAGAGAAATGGGTAGGAACTGACCATGAGTAGCTGAAAGCTTTCCAAGTGAGGTTCCAGGACCGCTACTTCGTAATTGCCAGGTATCCAGTTAAGCAATGCCCTCAAGACTAAAGGGCAATATCACCTGTGCCTGGACCTGGGCACCTGAGCTTTCATCATGTACACTAAAGTCACATGTTTGCAAAGCTATGTATATTAGGTACCTAAGAAGCTCTAAATGGTAGAATGAGCCAAAGAATCCTGGGGTTCTGACAGTGGCAAAGTAGCAAAATGGTGGTGCCATTAACAGGCAGAGGAGTGTCAAGAAGAGCTGGTTTCTGGGGCTGGGGTTATGGCTCAGTGGTAGAGCACGCGCCTTGCATGTGCAAGGACCTGGGTTCGATCCTCAGCACCACATAAAAATAAATAAATAAATAAAGTTATTGTGTACAATTACCAAAAAAAAATAAATATTAAAAAAATAAAAGAGAAGAAGAGCTTATTTCTGGACAGAAAGTTACAGAGTTCAGTTGCTCCTTAGAGGGTAGTTAGAGATAGTAAGCAACTGGGGCTGGAGTTGTGGCTCGGAGGCACAGTGATCGTCTAGCATGGGCAAGCCCTGGGTTCGATCCTCAGCACCACATAAAAATAAAATAAAGGTACTGTGTCCAACTACAACTAAAGTAAAATATATATTTTTTTTAAAAAAAAAGAGAGATAGTAAACAACCTCAGAACCAAAGACTTGAGACAAGAGAGATGGTGGAATTTCACTCTCTGATTATTTTCAGAGACTGCCCCATTTGAAATATACTAACCTTGGGTTTTTCTAGAAATGAGGCTTTAAACTAGATAGTCTAAAGAAGTTCTACCTTGTTCTAGGTACAGCCAACCAAATAAAAGACCTCTRAGCAGATAGGAACAGAGAATGTTCAGAAACTAAGGAAGAAGAAAGACAAAGAAAACCAGCCCTCCCTGACCACTCAGACACCAGCATCTCAAAGCATCCGAGATGTTTCGGCTCTGGGGAAATAGGAGGCAATGCCTTCCAGGCATGAGCTGACATGTCTAAGGCATGTCACACACATGTATGCAAGTGATTCACTGCTGATAGAGCAGGCACTTCAGGTGTTTCTTACCAGCACTGCCCCACCCTCTCCAGAATGTTCCRTGAGGATGAAGTCTTGGATGTCCCATTATTGCTGTATCTTGCACACCTGGAACAGTGCTTATACAAAGTAATTGATCCATAACTGTTCACAGGAGAAAGGAGTGGGGCATGGGGCACTTGATTCAGAATCTAAGCTCTGGCACTGCCTAAACCCTTGAGAAACTGAAACTGTTTCAACCTGTTTCCTTTCCTCTAAATTGGGAAGAGCAGTGTTTAAAAGACTGTTGTAAGGACCAGAAGAGGTGACGTGGGCAGCATGCCTAGCACGATGTCGACACAGGGTGCATCCTCTCTACTSTAGTGACCATGTCACCATAATGACTGCCTCCTTCACAGCAGTGCTCACGCCAGGGAGGGAGAATGGGGCAGGGAGTCTAAAAAAAATCAGCATCTGTCAAATCCTGTAGTCAAACCCACCTCCTCTGTCTGACCCTTCTTGCCACATTAAAGACATAAAGAAGACAAAAATGCACAGAAAACTCCAAACTGTTAGGAATCCTCCCTTGCACCCTGCCACATCCCGTTAGCCCCATTCTCCTTCCAATCTGCATGTAGGGAGGAAGGAAGGATCTTAAGGCTACTCTTCACTCTACAGGGGGAAAGGAGAGGGGAGCAGTCAGGAGACTTGCTCAAGGTCACGCAGTAGGCAGTGAGTCTGGAATGAGCCTGAGTCATGCCTTCTCACTCCCAGCCTGGGCTTTTCTCATCCTGCTGCTGGAACCCTGGAGATGACAACTAGGTGTGTGAGGGCATAGAGGTTAAGTGACGGTGAAGTCAAGCTCTGCGGTCACTCTGGTCACCACCCTACAAGGGAAAAATGGCAGCCCAGTCAAGGTAAATTACTTCTGGTGGAGAGGACTCCACAAAGGCTTTCAGAAGCAGCCAAGAACAGCCCCTCTATCTAACTGAATCTCTTCCCTTCTTCTAGATACTTCAGCGCAAAATGACTAGAGGAGACCTGCCTAGAATGCAAATGAGCTCAAACCCTCAGGAGGTCTGGGGAAGGAGAAGGGCCCAGGGAAAACAGAGGCGGGCAGACGCTGTCTGCAACCTCCCAGCCATCTCCTTGGAGACTCCGCTGGATGAGGTGAGGAGCCCAGCAGAGTGGAGAGACTAGGACTTGCTGAGGAGCCAGGCAAGCAACTGCTAAAAAGACAATGTTCTCAGTCAGGAAAGGTCCCTCCGTAGAGAAGGCAACCAAAGAAAGAAAGAGAAAAAAAGAGGAATTGCCTCTAGGCAGGGAACTTCCAGGTCTTTTGTTGATAGGGATATTTCTGGTTCCCAGCTTTACATTGTGGCTTGGGGATGGTGGGTGATTTAATTGAACATTGCCAGGRCTTGGCTGAGGTTGCCTGGGAGCTGGTGGCTTGGAGCTCCTACCGTATCATGGTCTCATCCATGTGAGATATTGAAAGGAATTATGTGTGTGTTGGGGGAAGGGTGAAGAAGGGGGGTTCAGAGCCCAGAGATTCTATTCTAACTTTGACAAGYTCCCCGACAGACCCAACATTCCTGGGAATCCAGCCCAGGGCCTTCAGCACCCAGCACAGGGCTTGGCACAGAGAGGTGTTCAGGAAGGTTGACCATCTGACTGAGTGGGAGAAAAAAAAAAGCAGTGTGAATATAAAATGCACACGGAGGCAGTCTTTAAAATGATCCAGGGCCAGTTCTCTGCCTCAGATCTAACATTCAAGAGCCCCCAGACTCTACCCAAACTGCCGGTCACCAGGCAGCAGTCAACCTGTCCTCAGACAGAGGAATCAGTCCCTGGGAAGTAGCTTTTTAATCAGCCCAGGTTTCTGTACAACTTCACTGGTGTCAAAAGCATCCTTTAGGTCATGACCCCTCCTAGGTATCCGCAAACACATTAAACCTCTCTGCCCTTACCAAAAATGGGAGAGGGGCGGATACCTGTATATCACCAGKGTGGTTCTCTATACGCTTCAGAGATTGAGTCTGAAATTGAAAAACAAAAAACAAAAAACAACTAATCCCTGCTTTTATTTATTTTTGAGCAGGTCTGGAATCCCATCGGGTGGTCCATGCTCCCACCTCCAGGGCTCAGCTCTYCACTTGACAGCTGGAATCCCTCTCCTCTCCTCAATCTGAGGCCTTCACCCTCACCTCCAGGGCACACAGAGTAGCACAATTAGCCGGCTCTTCCTCCCTCTCACACATTTAATCCTCTTTCTCCATCTCCCCACATTCCTCCTGATTCTCCCCTCCTCCCAGTCTCTCCCAGCTCCACCTCCGTCCCTTCCCCACCAAGATTTAGGCCAGCCAGATGCTAAAACTTCTGGAATCCTTTCCCCAGAAAACTTTCCTCAATAGGCCAGTGTTTGCAGAGTCTTGGCAAAGAGATTGTTGGGAGTTATGACSAAAGATGGGGACACAGGGAGGAAAGACACCCCTTTCCCATGACCATCCTAATTAGCACACAGGATGTGGGGGCTTTCCAAGGAAGCAGAGATGCCCTGCTCCAGCAGCTGTTCTCTGAGCGGCAGGGCCCTCCCTGGTGATTTTCTCTGCTCCCTCCCCACCACACCTGTTTCTCCAGGCTCCTAGGTTACACTCTTGGGAAAGCCCAGCCAGAATTCCAGAAACATCCCCTCCCCCACCCTTGTCCCTGAAGAGATTACTGTGGGGACACACAGAGACTTGTTCCAGGTCATCAATTAGGGCTGGTTGCACTGGACCCAGGGAAGAGGCTTAGCCAGGCTCTCCTCTTCCCTCCWGTGTCCCCCACCCTCCCCCTAACCTCCATTTCCAGGAACCCTTCCTGGCTCCCAGAGGGAAAGGATGGTCAGCCGGGAAGTAGGGTTGTGGTGGCCTTAATGGCAACTTGATTCTCATGGAAAGACAGGAGTTTGCACTCTGGGAGGCCAGGGTGTCCATCATAGGATACCCAGGGTACAGTTCAGTCAGAAGCCTAAGGACAGTTTCTTCTTAGGAATGGGCCTCCTCCTCCTCCTCCTCCTCCAGGGACAAAGGGAGAGGCTTCCCTGCCAGGCATTCCGGAGCCCCGTCCCTCCCCCTCCTCTCCATCTGCTCTGGCCTGTTGCTTTGGTGCTGGGAGTGCACCAGCAGAGGTATTCCGGAATGCCACAGCATCCAGGGGGTTCCATCCCCCGGGATCCCCCCAATTCCTTTCTCTCCTCCCAGAGAGGGCCCACAGGCTTTCCCGCAGCTGCAACCTCCAGGGGATCCCTTCTTCCTCCCCCAGCGCCCACACCCAGGACCCACCTGGGGTATCCCTTCTTCTTCTTCCCCCGCGTCCACACCCAGGACAGAAGAGACACTAAAGTTGGGGGCGGGGGGAATATGTGGCAGGCCCTAGAGTGCTGAGGGCAAAGCAGGGTCAGCCAAGAGGTGCAAGTGGCTGGGATAGCTTATGGGCTGAGAAGGCCTCAGAATTTCTACAAGGAAGGACTTAGGGAGACTAAGGGCTGAAAAGGGGGCGTGAAGGGGGAGGGTTCTTACGGGCTAGGCTGAAGCAAGGTTTGCATAACCAGTAGTTAAAATTACTTGCATGGATGTGTATTTGGTGATGATGGTGGGATACTAAGAGGACCAAGAGGAATAAAGCACCAACACCTCTTGGTGACACTACTGCACGAAAGTGCCACTGTGTGGACGAAGGTGGGTGCACGAGGCGGGAGTTCCCGGGTCCCAAAGGGTGGTGGGCGGCTCACCCGTGTCTTGGCGGAACTGGTTCATGGACTGCAGATCGATGATGTAGGGCGCTAGACGGCTGTCCACCTGGCCCAGCACCACGCTGCCCCCGGCGCGGGGACCGGCACGGACCACCGCCTCGATGTGGTGGCTCACCGCMGGGCTGTAGGGACGCCAGCGGCCGTGCTCGTTCAGCCATTCCCAGACCACCACTGCCGAGGCCAGGAGCATGGCGAGCCCGGGGCTTCGGCGGCGGCGGAGTCGCTGCGCTGCCTGCCTCCCGGGCCCAGCGCGCCCGACCTCCTCCGCTTCCTCCTGCGCCGCCGCCTCCGGGCCTCGACCGCGCCCCCAGCCCCGCGCCCCAACGCCGCGGGCAGTCTCAGCTCCGGCCCATGGGCTCCTCCCCAGCCGCGCATCCACCGGGGCCCGGAGACCAGGGCCGCCTGGCTCGGACCGCGCGCCGCCGCTGCCGCCGCCGGGGTCCGCTGCTGCTGCCGCTGCTCCGTGGGGTTGAGTGGCTTCATGCAAATGCCCGGCTCTCTGCAAACCAGCCCCCGCCTGGCAAAGCCACCCCGCGAGCGCGCGGCCCGAGCCCCGGCGGCCGCGAGCGGGGGCTGACCGGGACGCGAGGACAGAGCCCTCGCACCAGTTGCGCCTCAGGCTCTGCAGACGCCGGGGTGGGATCTAGTCTCACGATCGCGCTCGCTCTGGCACGCTCTGTACTCCTCCCCTCCCTCCCCACCCTTTCGCCGCACGAAATGCAGTCACAGCCGCGGGGAGAGCTCCCCCTCCCTGTGGCTCTGCTCAGTCGCTTCCAGAATGAATCGCCCCTCCCAAACAGGGCACTAAGGCAAACCCGCGCCTGCAGGGGTTTCCCCAGTTCCTTGACGCCGAGAAGGTACCCGCCATGACACSGCCCCGGCACCGTCGCCGTCTCCCGGTAGCAACTTTGCAGCCTTGTTCCCAAAAAGATAGGATAGAGTCTTCCTTCTTTTCTTTCTTTCTTTTTTTAATGCAGCACGACCGATTTCCGCAGCGCGAAATCTGAGGCACGCAGTCTCCGGCTTGCGCACGCACTCACACACTCATGCTTGCACACACAGCGCACGCACACCCCCACGCCCTCCTAGCTCTGGCGAGTATTACCTCATTTTCGCTAGCATCCCTAGCTGTCCGTCAAGGATGCAGAAGCCACACCCCCCTGGCTACTCCGACGGGTGTTTGGAGCTCTCACGCCCCCTGCTGGTTCCAAGCGTCGCGTGCCAGCCAAAAGCCACAATGGTTGGCACTGCTGAACTTCAAACTCCTCCAAGAACCTGTSCAAAGGGATGCGAAATTTTGGTGACTGATGGATTTATACCATCCACGGGTAGAGCAAATGTGTTTTAGGGGGCTCATTTCAACATTGCTAGAGTCAAGAAGACACAGGTTAAATGGACTTTATCCTGCAGTATTTCTGACCAAAATCATGAGGCGCTAGGACAAACACAAGCCAGACCTGGTTATATTAATTCATGAGCTGGTTATTTTAATTTAAGCTCATGGACTGAAGTCATGATTACACAATCTTGTCTGAGAACACRAATTTTGTTTCGCTGAGGCTGCAACCATTAAAATATGAATTCATTCTGTTACAATCTAAGAGGATATGGAAAAATAGAAATAAATTATGTTAGGGAGCAAAATAATTTTTTGAAACATTCATTCTTTTCATGATGTCCTATGATCTTTTTATATTTTTAGAAGACAGAAAGAAAATAGTACCTGGTCAGCAAAATCAGGAATTCCCAGGTAAAACAAACCTGAGACAGTTAACAGGGCTATTAACAAATGTTGAACTGGTTATTTGAAAGAGAATGAGAAGCAGAAAGAGTGACTCCTACCTTTCTATGTACAGGCTGATTTTGTATCTGGTCTTCTTATATCTGTCATGCTAAAAATGGGAGTGTACTATATAGCAGAACTAAAATACCTGATGACACATGAGAGTATTTATATGTAGCCAGATCAATTTGCAAGAGGAAGTAAATATATAGATGACTTCACATCAATTGTAGAATATATGTATTTATAGTTCATAACAACTCATTTGGAAATATTTTATATGTCAACAATAATTATGTGTATACATTTTTTTGGATTTCATAAGGCAATCCTAATTTTAAATATTCTATGCCACAAACTCCTAAAAAAGATTTTTTTTTTTTTTTTGGTATTGGTGATTGAGACCAGGAGTGCTTAAGTACTGTACCACATTTCCAGTCCTTGTTATTWTTTTTTATTTTTTATTTTTGAGATAGGGTCTTACACACACCCCCACCCTCATAGCTCTGTCAAGTATTATCTCATCTGCACTAGCTTGTGTAGAGCCRTACTASGTTGCTGAGGCTGGCTTTGAACTCGGTGACTACTGCCTCAGTCTCAAGGCGCTAGGATACAGGTGTGTGCCACCCTGCCTGGCAGAAATTGTATTTTAATATCGAAACATTGTCTTCCAAATTGCCTTCTATACCCATAAGWAGCATAAGAGTTGTTAACCAAATGACATGCCTAATTTGTAATTTGGACATATGGTAGCTATAATAAAACCTCGCTAATTGAGACTAACTGGAATGAAGCCAATTTTGAACTGTTCAAAGGTATAATTTGATGAGACTTCAAAAAATGCTATCTTAACACAAAGTTTAAATGAAAAAGGGATTCTTTTCTTTTTCTGTGGAATGTTCATAGACAAAAAGTCCCTTTTTTTCCAGTTACCCATTACTATGTAATAAACCACTCAGAAACCAGTGGCCAAAAACAGCAGCAAGCATTTATTTTTGCATATGAATCTGCAATTTGAGGAGAGCATCTGAGGACAGCTAGTGTCTGCTTGCACACAGCATTAGCTCAAAGCAACTGAAAGGATGGCTGGAATCTTCTGTAGGTTTGCTCATTTACACTCTCATGCTCAATGCTGGATGCCATCAGGTAACTCGACAGGGCTATCAG